TACCATAACACTTTAAATATTTTGGGCAACCACTCACTTCAGATGCATGATCCAAACCTCTGCTCTTAGGATTAGGAATATACTCCTCATTCAAATACCCAGGCACCTGATGATTTGGTAAGCAGAAGGAAGAGAAGCAATCCACATGATGCAATTTCAGGATTTTTGGCAGAGCAATCAAACCTTAGTCAAGAACAATAAGCACACATGAGCCAGATTCTGCACACAAGCCAGGCAACAAAAGCCTACCGAAAATAAGAACCTGTAGAATACCAGGTACTCATTGACTAAGATGCTTTCAACATAAAGGTGCCAAAATTGAGGGCACCCAAAATGGCAGTTTCCCTTCTACCCATCCAATAAACACAGCGTAGCCCAAACTACAACAGTAATAATGCCCTAAAATAAGGCATATACATTCACTGTGCAAGTAGAATTCCTTCATTTCAAAGTGTTTCAAAACTTAAAAAAAGTTCCTTTACCTTTTTGTGCCTCTAAACCCACACCTGTCCATTGACACACAAAACTCCGATTTTCTCACATTTAGGCTCCAATTCCATGAAGTTTTCTAGTATGTCATAATTGCTATGCTGCACAGGTACGTTTTGTCAAGTTATTCCCAAAATAGGGAGGCAAATAGAAAAGCCCTAATCAATATAGGAAACGGCAGCAGAACTGCATTCTTTGTGATCCTTCAAAAAGTTATTTTTAATCAGTTGCCATCTTGCAACTTTATTAAGTCACAGTGAGCAGGAACTCCATCACAAGCAACTTCACCTAAAGATGTTTTCTATTCTATTCACCATGTGCAATGCTTAATTTTTTCATTCTCAGAAAGCCACTAATAACCTCTCATTAACTGCACATTAGCACAGACTAGTGGTCATAATTCACCACTGCAATTACATATAACAAAATCACTACACCACTAAAGGAATGTTGTGCTATCAAAACCAGAGATCTATTTCTTAAGGTTACTTCAAACAATTTGTCATCTTTCTATATAAACATTATCACAGCCCTCTAACTTGGTCACATTCTGGTTTGGCTTCCTTCCCATAAAATAATCAACAGCATTAAAATACTTCTCTACCCAAGAAGCAGAGTGGCACAAGCATGTTGTAAAACACCAGGAAAAAAAAAAAAGGGCTCTAAAATGAAAGAGATAACTTACAGGATATACTGAGTTTGAAATATCAGTGGGTTTTTAACAAAACCAAAGACTTTGACATTAAGGATGTAGTTTTCCATGAACAGAAATACTACATATTGGCCTCATCTGGAAAAGTGTATTAGAAGTTTTAAAATCATTATTTTAGAAATATTTCATCACTTATTCTTCTGTATTTCATGGAAGTCAAAATACCTATGGCTTTCTGAAGTGCTGTACCATTTTGTTTTGCTTTTTTTGCCCCCTACCATGCAAATGACATTGACTGAAATTACCTCAGTGAAGATGGGTCTTGCTATTCTAAAACCAGACATGTTACAGTCTCCTAATTTTTAAGTATCTCCTATGAGTCAATAGTCCTGAGAAGCAACCTCTCTGATCCCAAAACAGTTTTCAAAGTCAAAGCTGTGTTCAAATCAACGGAAACAGCAAAACAAGAACCAGTACCTTCCTGCCTATCATTTCTCATCACTTAAGCAGCCTCTGCACGCCTGCTAGGCACCTCACTATACAGAGAGGTCAAAATAGAGCACATAACAGCATTTTATTAAAAATACAGCTGAAATAACAGTATTGTTAAAATGCAATACTTACTCTATCTCAAAAACTATTAACAGGCAGGAAGACTTAATCAGGGGTCCTTTCTTACTAAGATTACCAGTTAGTAGACACCAGTTACTCTATTAGCTTCCACTGCTTGCTCCTGAAGACTAAACTCAAACTGCAAGTAAAATTCAGAGAAACCAACTGGCAAGTTGGCCACTAATGTCCGTTTCAGACCGTTGATATTCTGCGAGTATTATTAATTATTTCAGAGCTAAATAATTTGAAGAGAAGACTAATAGTTTTGTACGTAATTTGAGAAACTAGTTTTCTTTACTTCTGCAAATTCTGTAATTGAGAAATCAACTTTTGTGTTCTCCATAAATAAATTTTCATTATGTACACTTGTAGAAAGCTGCACTAAGCACAAGGGGTACAGCTTCTACTTAATATGAAACTCGAAAAGATGTATTTCATACATCCCTTAAAAATATATGTTGTCTGGGAAACTGAAATCAATCTTGCCTAGCAGCAATCTGAGGGCATGACTGGAAAACAATACCCATGTAGCATCTCAAAGTGAATTTAATGCATCTATCAAGTACTGAGTAAACTCAAATAAAATAAGCTTCTAGACAAAGTGTTATATTAAATAAGTCTCAGTTTCTCAGCCCACATGAGATTAATAGTACAAATGTTAAATGAAACTGTAAATTTTAGCCATAAAATCATAATATAAAATTAAATCAGTATATATGCCAGAACTAAATCAGTTCTGTAGCACATGAAAATTTTATTTAAAAATATATAAACTACTTATGCTTGGACTACTCTACCTAGAATTCAAGGAAGATTCAGAAACAGTTTTATTAATGCAAACAGACAGCTTCAAACACTTGTCTGCTATTAGAAAAATAAAGAAAAGGAGAGTACTTCAGCTTGCCACTCGAGAACAGTTCACTAAAAGAAATTAGGCAGTCTTAAGTAAGCTGACTGCTATCATCTAATGCATACAGACTGTGTAGGACAGTTCTTACCTTTCAAAAGGTAAGCCAGAACAGAACTGATAGAAAATATTTTTAATAAACATCCATTAATCCTTTCATTCCCAAAAAGGAAAAGACAGATGTGAAAATGAAAGAAGAACTAGCACAAGATGTCACCTCAGCCTCAAGTTTTCTCTTGTGATGAGAAACAGATAATGCAGAAGTATTTCTGATAAAAATCAAGTCTAAACAAGTTTCTAGAAAATGTAATTCTTTGACAACATTCAATGACATATGAGACAAACAAATGAAAGACGTCCTAAAGCCCCAGAACATGTGTTAAAAAAAAAAACCCTAATAATTCCTATTGGTTTCTATGTTACCTATTTGAATACACAGCAGCATATCTGGTAAGGAAACTAGTCTAACAAGAATATTTATGACAAAGCTACCCAAGATCAAATGCTTCCTACAGCAGTAACTGTAACTTGGAAGTTTTTTCTGTACCAGTTCTGACAAAACCATAGACTTCATTGTTTCAGCATAGAAAAGAAACCTTGAGAACAGCATCAGCAAAACATACATGACACTGGCATAGAAAGCACTTGAGAAAAAACACACGGCCCTCGAATATTTTGTTGTACCAGTTATGCGATATCCACACTATGCTTGCCTTGGGGGGGGTCATTTTGGTTTAGTTGTAGTCTGGTCTTGAGGACTGAATGCCTCCTAGTACTGGAGCACACTTCTGTTTAAGTGTTTTCTAAAAGGAATCAAGCTTGTGTACTCAGAGCACTCTGCAGTGCAACACAAAGCATGATAAGTGGGAACTACTGACAGATTTGCTTCAAAAGCACAGTTCTAGCTGACCTAAAAATGCTGATGTGGAAACATCTTCTGCCTTTTTTTTTTCTCTTCTGTTCATAGATGACTACACGTTTCAACAAGATGGTCAGATGGAAAAATAAACACATATGGATACTACCAGTAGAACTTTCAACATAATCACCTCCCTACCTGTATAGGGGTGGGGGGACACGTTTCCTCCTTCCCTCTATTTCACTCCACAACAGCTCATCCATAGAATGGGTATGAAGAAACTGCATTTAAGATGCTAAAGAGTAGAGACCTGCTCTGACCAACACAGAAGAATCTGAACAGCCAGAGGTCTGATAAAAACCAATTTGATCCACAGTGAGTTAAGCACCCTGAATAATATTGACTCCAAGCAAAAACACATTTCCAACAATAAGCACTAATGTTGTCCTGTTTAACTTAAAGGTATTTTGAATACTCATAAGGATCTGACAAAATAGAGACATAAAAAGCAATGAGTAAAACTTAAAAATCAAATGCTTCAAGTGAAAAAATTTTGTATTGTAGAAAGTTTGACATTTGAGACACCTTTTATTTTCAACAATTAAAGTAAAAGCATTTTAAAGCTTTCACCTCTCTGACCTCTAACAGGACTTTTGATATGCTAGTGCCACATTATGTTACTCTGCAGTATGTGGCTACTTAAGAGTTTTTGACCAAAAGTGTTAGGAGTCCCACATTTGTTCCAAATGTTGACCATTTACAACACCTTCTCCTGTAAGTTTTCCTTGGCAAATTTAATTTCCATGTTATTGATGCTGCTAATACAGTGCCACACTAGATATCTAACTACCACGACAATGTCATGTAGAGATACTAACTAGAGTACTTGACAAACAAAGCTGGTCATGGTGCAGGTATGGCCATACTGACTCCAGCTGTGGAGCTAGCATGATCAGAAAGAGTTTGGGTTCCTCTACAAGCCACTGCATTGCACAACAGAGAAACCTTTCTGTTTAAAGCTCAATTAGGACAGGCTTTTCTTTAAAAAAAACAACCCACCATAATTAAAGTTTCTCTCCCTGGTAATATCAATGCAACATCAAAACTCTCAGCTATGCTCTCAGAAGTAACAATGTTGAGTTTGTATTTCTTCATAAACTTGGTTTCTTAACGAAGTCAGACTTGTTATTGTATACATACTAGCAAATAAACTTTCATACTTCAGTTCTCTAGCACTGTGTTTATCAAAACTCCAAAGTATGGAGTATGGAGTTCAGGTTCCCTTCAATTTGAATTACAGAATCAAAAACCTTGTATTAATCTTTATTCAAATTGTTATTATTAACATCTTATATTAAATTTTATCATATTCTTGTAGTTACTGAAAATTAACATCTTATTTTAAAAACCCTTTGTCATTCCAGGACACTTAGATCTATGTAACAATGCAAACACTGTTGTGGTACATTGTGTCACATTACCTCAGGAACATTTCGAAGTGTTTTACTAAAGCCTTTAGGTTTTTGTCAGGAAAGCACATCTTCCCCAGTATTTCTGGTAGCTTTACTGTAAATAAGAGAAATAATGTTTACACCTGTTCTTTTAAAAGCAACTCCTAATTACTTTTATCTACTATACAGAAAAAAAGAATACAAAAAATTCTCCCTGCAGCCTCCACTTTTCTTTTCAAGTTACTCAGTGATCTTTCAAAACCTTACTAAAAACAAACATGCTGAGAAAGTGAATGCTGCTTGTTTACTTTTCTTAAACGAAGGCTTACAGAGACACTAAGAGATAAGTAAGTTTATGAATAGCCTAAGAGTTTTAAAGAGACTAAAATGTCTGCTTCTCCAAGAATAAAACTAAATGCGATAAAGCAAACAACAAATCACATGGATACAGTCACTAAAAAAAAACCCCAAAACAAAAAACCCAAAACAAACAAAAAACCCAAATAAAGCACTTCTGATTCAGCACAGAGTTTTGCATCAGTTTACCAAACATCCGTAGCAAATGTTGAGATCCATAGATATATGAGGGAGGTGGTGGTTGGTCACTTGGTGGATAATTCTCTGGCATCAATTTCCAGGACAAAACCTAAAGATAAGACATGAAAATGTTGGTTGTGAAATCTTTATAGCACCGTACGTAATTTAGTCCGTGCAGAACTTCAAAACTGAAGATGAAATAAGTAACACAAACAAAACCTTTTCTTACATAGCCCTATTCAGAGGTCAACAAAACCTTTAATCATTGAATCTAAGATAGTAACATAAAATATGTTACCTCATTCAATTCATTGTTTCTTCTACCTTCAAAGCCAGTAAAAACCGCACTCCCCTCTTTGCTAGGAGTCAAAGTTATAGGGGAAGATGATCCACTATGGACAGGGGTTTCTTCAAAAGGGAAGGAAAAGCAAAACAAAAGAAATCAGAAATAAAATGTCATTATCTGTTTTATGGAACTAAAAGCCACTAAACACAACTAAGGCCTGCTGCTAAAATGTTTAAAGTCTTAAACGCTGTAATTCAATAAATGCTATCCTAAAGTAGGCTCACATTTCTGTGAGCAGCTCCTTGAATTCTGTTGAGAAATACAGTACCAAAATACTGAAGATATTGTTTTGTATTTCTCCATTTGGTATAAGCTTCAGAGAGAAGGAACAGATACAAAAAATAATGAATTCCTACTCCAATCATTCAGTTCGCAGTCCAGATCACATTAAATTATTGCTTTAAACATGATTTTAAGTCGTGGTCTTTTTTTACGGAGCAAAGCCTACTTTTTTCCAAGTGCAAGAAGAGCTTCGGCATAGAAGCTGGGGTCTCAAGATGCCGTCGTTTAGGTTGCGGGGAAGCACTGCTTTCCGATAATCTATCACAGTTAGAGCTATGGCGTGTAGAACGCCTCAGTGACTGCAGAATTTCAGGTTCAGCTTTTCGTCTTTTTGGCGTAGCTGGCTCCCCCGTTGTAGGTTGGCTGTCGGTTGACTGAGGCGTTGGTGGATTCAACAGAGGAGGACTTGGGGAAAGCTCCTCCTGATTTCTAAGAAATAAAGGCAGCTTTACAGAAGTGAAGAGATCAGGGTTCTTCACCCAAAAAAGATCCTTCTTGTTTCACATTGTCTTGTTAAATCCTTATTCAAATTAGACAGTCTCCTCCCAATAACTATCAAAGTAATAAGGCCTTATTTTAAAAACAGTTTTCCAGAAGCTATTTATTTTCAAATTTAAAAGTTAATGAACACAAATTTACATTTCAATGCAAATTTGTTTCCCGACAAAGCTGCAGCGTAACTCTACACCAGTCAGTAACAAACCCCTTTTGAAGTTAACCAGATAGAAATTCAGAACCTGAATTCAGGCAAACAATTCATGGAAAACTTCAACATTTTATCAAGACAATTTTTAAGTCAAAGTATGTGAGAAATCATCCTATTCTGAACACATAACCACCTTCTATTCCATTTTCCTCAGGACAGAAGCAGTATTAGACTCCTTACACCCAACCTACCTGTTGGTATTTGTTGAGTTTTCTTTGATGGGAAGAAAGAATTTTGATGAAGTCACCTTCTTAAATTGAGCTTGTTCATAAGGATAGAGCAAAATTAATGGAAGCGTGAAGTCAAAGGTTATTCTCAGCCCATCTACCATCTCTTTACATAGCTCAACACTAGAGAAAAAAAAAGGAATTACGAATTTCAAAGCTGCATGTCAAAATTCTTCAGTGTAGTTGTAGGAAATTCCTTTTTAATACACATCATTAACATCTTAACTACGATATACTGACTTCATCACTAAGTAATGATGAGTGATTAAAAGCACACTTAAAGAGACAGTGATTGCTGTTGGTGACTTCAGACAAATACAAATTTTAAAAGTCTGCCTAATAATATAAACCAAAATCATACAATTGTTCTGTTGTATTACTATTTACTGGACTAATAAAATCTACTTTACAGTAAATAAAGTTAGTTTTTCATGTAAGCATTATTTTGTTTTTCCAAGTTTACTAGGCTCAAAAAAGAGGCACCTGCCACAAAAAGTATGAACTCAATGGATTGAATCTCTGTCTAAAAGGCACATGCAGAATTTGATCTATAACCACCAAGATGCAGTTAAGGCTGTGCTTAAGACATATCCAGTGAACCAACAAAACCAGATACATTTGCATTGGATATCAGTTTCCAGTGGCCTGCTCCTGGTAACCAAAGCACTACATTTAGAGGCTACTAGAAATTTCAGCTTTGGGCTTGTGTAAAAGACTTGCAGCGCTAAGTGGTCAGTAGATGTGCTGTAACAAGCAGAACCAAGGACATTGACGCCAGCCTACCTCCAACACCTCTCACATCTATGAAGGTACTCATCTCTCATGTATCAGGTGCATATCACAGAATCATTACGGCTGGAAAAGACCTTGAAGATCATCAAGTCCAACCATCAACCCAACACCACCATGCCCACTAAACCATGCCCTGAAGCGCCACATCCACACGTTTTTTGAACACTCCCGGTGATGGTGACTGCACCACCTCCCTGGGCAGCCTCTTCCAATGTTTTAACACTCTCTCAGTAAAGACATTTTTCCTACTATCTAGTCCAAACCTCCCCTGGTGCAACTTGAGGCCCTTTTCTCTCGTTCTATTGCTAATTACTTGGGAGAAGAGACCAACACTCACCTCACCACAACCCCCTTTCAGGTAGTTATAGAGAGCAATGAGGTGTCCCCTCAGCCTCCTCTTCTCCAGACTAAACAACCCCAGTTCCCTCAGCCATTCCTCATAAGACTTGTTCTCCAGAGCCCTCACCAGCTTCGCTGCCCTTCTTTGGACACGTTCCAGCAACTCAACGTCCTTCTTGTAGTGAGGGGCCCAAAAACGAACACAGTATTCGAGGTGCGGCCTCACCAGTGCCGAGTACAGGGGCACAATCAATTTCCTGTATATGTATGGTAACAGTAATTCGATTCTGCCACAATGACCCACATTAGAAATTCCATACCTCCTATTAGCATTCCATACCACCTGCTAAAATTGCCTTTTTTTTTTTTTTTTGAAACACTATATAGATATTGGGTGAGGGGACCATCATGTGCAGAAATTCTATCACACTGGAGAAGGTCAATTACCTTCTGTGTCAAAGCAGTAAGGGCAATGCAATAAAGTTGTCAGCTGAATCTCTCCTACTTAAGACCCCACCTGGAGTCTTGCGTCCAGCTCTGGAGCCCTCAGCACAGGAAAGACATGGACCTGTTGGAGCAGGTCCAGAGGAGGACCCCCAGAACGATCAGAGGACTGGAACAGCTCTTCTGTGAGGACAGGCTGAGAGAGGTGAGGTTGTTCAGCCTGGAGAAGAGAAGGCTCTGGGGAGACCTTACTGCAGCCTTCCAGTACCTAAAGGAGGGGGCTTACAAAAAAGATGGGGACAGACTTTTTAGCACGACCTGTTGCAATAGGCCAAGGTGTAATGCTTTTAAACTAGAAGAGGGTAGATTTCAACTAGATCTAAGGAAGAAATTTTTCAGAATGAGGGTGGTAAAACACGGGAACCAGTTGCCCAGAGAGCTGGTAGATGCCCCATCCCTGGCAACATTGCAGGTCAGGTTGGACGGTGCTCTGAGCAACCTGATCTAGTTGAAGATGTGCCTGCTCACTGCAGGGGGGTTGGACTAGATGGTCTTTAAAGATCCCTTCCAGCCCAAACTATTCTACGATACCGAATGGATCACTGAAATTATACACATTTTCCTTATTAAAGCACCTTCTTTATTGAGGAAGTCACTTAAACATACACCTTCAAAAATCATAATGTGCGTACCACCTTCTGTTCATATTTCTGATGTTTGATCTAACTTCTTGTTTGGGAGATTTTATTACAAAGAAGTATCATTAAATCTGTCAAATAACAAATGACATCAATATAAATTTGGTCTCACACACCAAAATATTTCAAGGAATAGCCTAATTATGTACCATTGAAATAGAGCGTGGTAACAAAAGTCAAGATTTCTCACTGGTAAAATACAAGATTTCACCCCAGTGTAGACTCGGATAAAGCAGCAGTCGCATCTAATATTGGGAATCTTTAGCATATGGAAAAAACAACCAACAGAAGAAGTCATACTTGAAATACACAGGATTAATGCACTGCATTTGTAGCACAGTAGAAGAATATACAGCTTGGCTGAGAAAGCAGCAACCAAGACACAATCAATTTTAATAAACAGGATTGGTGTTACTACACACATTGTTAACGATTAAGATATGTCAATTAAAAAAAAATTTTAAAAAATCACCTGCACTTGGTAGTTCTCTTGTACGTGTTTGTATAAAACTTTTATCCTTTATAAAATTTTAACTCATTGCTAAAAAAATTCTTCATGTAGACAATAGCAACACATTCTTCCAAATATGTCACAATCATCACAAGAACTTACATGATAAAAGGAGATATTGATGCTTTTGCATAATGTCTTTTCAGACTATAGGGACTCTCTCACAGACAAAACAAATTGCCAGTGTTACTGTACTACAGGTATCTATCAACTATTTTAAGCCCCATAAATAGATATACATCACAGTATATCTATAGATAAGCTAGCTATATATAAGCTCACAGAAGTGAACAACCTTGAAACAGAACCTGGAATGCAAGGTCATGTTTCTTGTGACAATAGCGCTGAACTAAAGATTACTTACTTCTTCTCTGGTGGCACATAATGAAGATTCATATTAGCATGTGGAGTCATCTGATGGTGCCGAGATCTTTCATTGGCTGAAAAAGCAGCATTAATAGCAAAATGTTTCACATATGACTCCAGGATGGTTATTATATTTGTCTGACAAGGAAGCTTCACTAGCTGAAAGAGAAACAACAAATTAATGTCTTACAAAAAGAATTAGAAAGTATACCAATCTAAAACAGGAGCTTGTAATGTACCGACTAGTTTAATAAGCCTCTACTGCATGAAGTTATTTCCAGAGTGATTAATGTGAACCCTTAAACTGCATTTTTGATCAATCCTTTAGAAACATCTGGAGAAACAGAAATATGGTCAGGTTAACAAGCTTACTACATTTCCAGCTTTAAAAAACAATCTTTACTCTAAAACATCATTGGGTACTGAAATGTTACATTCTTAACTAGAATGACAACTCACTGTTTTAGCTATAGAGTGCTCTGCTCCCTACACTCTTTTTGTTCTTCCTTATACTCTCTAAGCTCACTTTTGCAATGAAGTTCAAAAAACAGTTGTTGTTATATGCAAGAACTACGTTTTATGCCCTCCCCAACCCCCCCATGCACATTCATTTCATAGCTTTTATTTCATACCCGTTTTCTTCTATTAATATAGTAACAGTCTTCCTCAAGCTTCTTTTTCAAGACTTCAGGAATTTCTATGCTTATTGCTCTTTCTTCCATGTCCCTTTTTGTGTGGGTGTCTTGTTCTTCTTTCTACAACAAAGCAGTGCAAGAAACAATATATTGGTTGTGCTTATGAATATTAGTGAAAAAGAACTTAAGTAGTCAGGATGCAATATAACAATCAAGTTTTGTCATGCAAAAATAAAATATATAACGTACAGTAAATATTTAAGCGGATAGTAGCCTTATTGTAAGCAATTTAACAATACTGCTTTGAAGTCATCTGTGAATTCATTTTTTAAAGCTTTTTTGTTAATTTAGCATTCACTTAAGTATTAACACAAAAGAATGAACAGAAGTTTGTTAGGTTTTGCTGTTTCAGATCACCCACACTGTAGTAGTTAGATTCCATAGACCTTCAGAACACCTGTTTACACTGTACTTTCTTTTTGACAGTGTAAAGAAAATAAATGGGTTTTAAGTCAGTCTTCTACATTTTAAATTAAGATCATGCCCATTTCACAGTAAAATACAAAAGCTAGAAAGATTCTGCTGCTATTAGGATTTGTCCAACCTGCATAGACCAGTAAAATTTTACAGCACCCACAAATCTGGATAATCTAATTTGCTATGTTTTCTCCACATAAGCTTTATGTGTAGAAAAAGAGGAAAAGCAACAAATGTGTATCTTTAGATTAATATCAAAGAATTCTACATGAATATGACATCCTCTATAATTAAAAAAAAATGTCAACCACAGTAAGCACCAGGAATAAGAAAATTATGCTTTTAATTACAGCTAAATAACCAGCTGTGGCCTATATTTTATCAACTTCAATTTTTCCAGAGTTTCAAATACAGATGTTTAAATCCTATGAAGTTAAGGAGCTCATGAATATACCATTTCTGTCCTCTCTTCTATGTCACTTTCTTCACTTTTTATTTCTTCATCTGTTCCTTCATCACTGTCATCAGAAGAAGAACTACTTATAGCTGTGTAAAAGAGATTTCACATATTTATCTCACATTATTACATTGCAGAGGTTAAGACCAACCAACTTCAGGCCTCAAAAAAACCACCAACCCAAAAGAAACCCCCACAACTAGCTGCTTATATTTAGGGAGGATAAATAATTCTAATTGAATTAAACACACAAGCATTATTTACAGCACACTATACACTTGTTAAATACGTAAGGCAAGAAGTTTACAGGAAATATTCTTGCATTCTCTCTAATTGAAAAAACACTTTTAAAAGCTCCCTACGTTTCTGAACACTCAGACATCTTTTCAATCTTTATTGGACTTTAGTTCTGAACAGGTGATTAATGTATTAATCATTCAATCAGAAGGTCTGGATCTATGCAGCAACAGTTGCCAGAACACCAGCTGAGTACCAGCTAGTGTTCCTGCTGGTTTTCAAGCTACAAAGAAAAGTGCTATGAAATGAAAGAGCTGGCTTGAGAGTGAAATCAGCCAGTCAGCTGACTGGAAACAGACTTTTGCAGTAGGTAGACTGCGGGGAAAAGAAAATCTTATTGCCCCCTAAAATACATAGAAACACTAGCAGGGAAAGCATCTTGTTTCCTAACACCAAAGAAAACTGAGGGCTTCTTGCATCTAGTAATACTACACTAAAAGTAGCATTAAGGTCTGAAATCACTGATTAGAATAGTTGAGTGGAAGCATCACAAGGAAAAGCCTCTGGAAGATAAGAAGAAAGGAGGTAACTTAATAGATGCTTAGCATGAAACACAGTGCTCACTCTTCATATGACTGCCCAGGTATATTTCAAATAGGACTGTGATACTCTCGTGTCATCCTAATAGGAACTTGCAGCAGGCACTGTACCCCTAGCTCAACAAGTTAAAGTCATCATGCCAGTTACCAAAAAATGAAAACAAGCTCACAGTTTTCACTACTCTCCTCATTTTCTTCAGCAGG